GGGTCCTGGGAAAAAAGCTTAAAAGAAATTGGTGAGAAAGGACAACCCATTCAATGGGTAAAGTGTCTGCCAAAGGTTCTGAAATAGCCAGCATAATCTTGAGGAAGAAGAACAAGGCGATAACAAGGACACACGGCCCCATCACCTGCAACAGACGCCAAGATCCTTCAAGGGGAGAGCAGTGTTTTCAACCAATGGCATGGAAAAGAAGGAAGCTGGGCCTTTATCTAACGGCTTACGCAAGATGTAACTCAGGACCAATCAGAGGGGCGGTGCTGTGAGCAGATGGCAAGCCTCCCCTACCAGGGAGCAGGTGCCACTGCTCCACTTCCAATCCAGCTCCCTGCCGATGTGCCCGGGGAGCGGTGGAAGAAGGCCCAGGAGCCTGAGCTCTTGCTACTCATACAGGAGACTCAAATGCAGCTCCTGGCTCCTGGCTTCAGCCCAGCTGAGCCCCGGCTGTTGTCACCATCTGAGGAGCACACCAGCGGGTGGAAGATTGATCCTCCCCCCATTATTCTGACTTTCAAATAAATAAATAAATCTAAAAGCCACTGCCTGCATTGCCAGCATCCCACATGGCTACAGATTCAAGTCCTGGCTGCTCCACTTCTGATCCAGCTCACTGCTGTGGCCTGGGAAAGCAGTAGAAGATGGCCCGAGTCGGGCTCCTGCACGCATGTGGGAGATCCAGAAGAAGTTCCAGGCTCCTGGCTTCTGATCAGCACAGCTCTGGCCATTGTGGCCATCTGGGGAGCAAACCAGCATAGGGAAGACCTCTCTGTCTCTCTCTCTCTCTCTCTGCCTTTCTAATAAATAAATCTTTTTTTAAAAAATGGGCTAGAGGCCTGGAATAGACATTTCTCCAGAGAAATTACACAGATTACCTGCAAGCACACGACATGACGTTCATCATCATTAGTTATTGGGGAAATGCAAATAAAAGTATAGTGAGACGCGACTCCACACCCACCAGTACGGCTACTGACAAAACAGCCAGAACCAGTGTCGGCAAGGCTGTGGCGGAACAGGTGGGGCTGTAAAGTGGTACAGCACTACAGAAAACGGCAGGATGACACCTCAAAAAATTAAAAATAGAGGTGTGTGTTTGGCACAGTGGTTAAGACACTGGCCGGGACACCCACACTCCACACTGGAATTTGAGTGTGTGCACTGCTCTCAATTCCAGTCTCCTGCTGATATACACGCTGGGAGGCAGCAGGTAATGGCTCAAGTCTCAGGTCCCTACCACCCACATGGAGCTCTCGATGGAGTTCCTAGCCCCCGGCCTTGGCCTGACCCAGCCTGAGTCACTGCGGGCAATTGGGGAATGAATCAGCAGATGGAAGCATTCTCTCTCCCTCTCTCTCTCTCTCTCTCTCCCCCTCTCTCTCTCCTTCCTCCCTCCCTCTCCCTCCCTCCCTCCCCTCTCAAGTAAGTAAACAATTTTAAAATAAATAATAAAAATGGAATTAGCCTATGATCCAGTAATCACACTTCCAGGTATGCATCCAAAAGAACTGAAAGCAAGGCCTCAGAGATGTTGACACACCCATGTTCATAGCAGCATTTTTCAAAATAGCTAAACATGGAAACAAAATGTGGTTTATCCACACAGTGGAATATCATTTAGCCTTAAAAAGGAAGGAAATAGAGCCGGCGCTGCGGTGTAGTAGGTTAAGCCTCCTCCTGCGGTGCCAGTATCCCTTATGGGGGCTGGTTCAAGTCCCAGCTGCTCCACTTCCGATCCAGCTCTCTGCTAACGGCCTGGGAAAGCAGTGGAAGATGGCCCATATACTCGGGTTCCTGTACCCTCATGGAAGGCCTGGGAGAAGCTCCTGGCTCCTGGCTTTGGATCAGCGCAGCTCCAGCTGTTGCAGACATTTGGGGAGTGAACCAGTGGATGGAAGACCTCTTTCTCTGTCTCTCCCTCTCTCTGTCGGTAACTCCTCCTCTCAAATAAATAAATAAATCTTTAAAAAAAAAAAAAAAAAAAAAAAGGAAGGAAACGTTGACACACGCTACAGCCTGGATAAATCCTGACGTTATTACGCTCAACAATAAGCCAGTCACAGAAAGACAAACAGGGCGAGCCACTGTGCAGGCGTGAGGTCATCAGAGTGGTCAGCATCACAGACGCAGGACGCAGACGGGGGCCAGGGGCCGGGAGGAAGAGGAAGCGGGGAGCTGCCGAGAGCCCAGACCTTCAGTCTTGCAAGATGCAAAGAGGGATGGAGACAGAGCGGCGAGGGCCGCACGGCAGATTTCCCAGCACTGAACTGTGTGCTTGAAAACCACAGGATGGGCCGTGGCAGGTGCATTTAACACAAGGTTTTAAACTGGAGAAAAATTTAAATAAAAAAGTCCGTATCTGAGAAGGGACTTGTACTGAAACACACAAGGAATCTAACTACTCAATAAGAAAAAGACGGGGCGGGCGCTGTGGCACAGCAGGCTAAGCTGCCACCTGCAGTGGCCGCAGGCCGTGTGAGAGCACCAGTTCGAGTCCCCACTGCTCCACTTCTCATCCAGCTCCCTGCTAATGTGCTGGGAAGGTAACAGAGGACAACCCAAGTACTGGGGCCCCTGCCACCCACAAGGGAGACCTGGATGCAGTTCCAGGCTCTTGGCTTCAGCCTGGCACAGACCTGGTTGGTGTGGCCATTTGGGGAGTGAACCAGGGATAGAAGCGCATCCTCTCTCTCTCCCCCTCTTTCAATCTGCCTCTCAAATAAATAAATAAGTAAATCTTTTTTTTTTTTTTAAGTTGGAGTTACACAGAGGAGAGGCAGAGAGAGAGAGAAATCTTTCATCTGCTGGTTCACTCCCCAATTGGCCACAACGGCTGGAGCTGTGCTGATCCAAGCCAGGAGTTAGGAGCTTCTTTCGGGTCTCCCACATGGGTGCAGGCGCCCAACAACTTGGACCACTTCTTCTGCTTTCCCAGGGCATAGCAGAGCTGGGTAGGAAGTGGAGCAGCCAGGTCTCGAACCGGCGGCAATATGGGATGCTGGCGCTTCAGGCCAGGGTGTTAACCCGCTGCACCATAGCACCGGCCCCTATGAACAAATCTTTCAATAACAATAAAGACAAATGGGGTAGGCATTGTGGGCCAGCAGGTTAAGCTACTTCTTGGGACACCTGGCTCTCATATCAGAGTGCCTGGGATCGAATGCTATCTGTGCTTCCTGCTAATGTGCCCGGGGCAGCAGCTGGTGGCTGAGACACTCGGGTCCCTGTCACACGTGTGAGACCCAGATCGGGCTCCTGGCTCCTGACCTCCGCATGGCCCAGCCTCAGCTCCTGCAGCATTTGAGGACTGAACCAAGGATGGAAGGTCTCTCTCTCTCTCTTTCTCTCTGTGTCACTCTTTCAAATAAACAAAAATTAATAAACATTTTAAAAAGACAAATAAGCCAATTAGAAAAGAGACAACTCTCCAAAGATGCACAAATGTCCAAAAAGCTCAGGAAAAGACATCCCGTATCTTTACCACTCATCAGGAAATGCTACCAGAACCACACGAGATGGCACCACGGAGGCACCAGGACAGTAGGGTCACCGAGACAGACGGAGCCCCTCACACTGCTGGTGGGAATGAAGGTGGAGCAGCCATCTGGGAAAAGTCTGGCGACTCCCCAAAGGCCAGCCGCCAGCTTCCCACCCGAGCCAGCACTGTGTGCCCAGGTGGGCCGCTCTCACAGCGCCAACCCCACTTTTCCACCTGCTTGTCCTACGGCTTAGCTCAACTCAGGCCCCACGGGTGAAGGGCTCAGGTGCCAGCCTCAAGGCCCACAGCTGTCTACACAGCAGGGTTCCCACGAGCCCCTGCTCAGGTTTGATCATTTGCTAGAACAGCCAGCAGGACTGAGGAGGGCGCCTCACTTCTCACTACAGGACTCCTGCAAAGGACTGGCCACATGGAAGAGACGCAGGAGCCAGGGTATGGGGACGGGGCTTCCACGCCCACTCTGGGCCACCGCCCACCAGCACCTGGGTGTGGTCACCACTCGGGAAGTCCCCAGACCCTAAGGTCAAGTCTAGGGGGTTTTAGGGAGATTCCACTGCATGGGCCCAGCTGATGAAATCATCGGCACTGTGGTTGGCTCAGTCTCCAGGCCCTCACCTTCCCCGGATGGAGGTGGGAGGCACACGGGAGTGGGGCTAAGAATTGCAACCCTCTATCCCGCCAAGTCCTTCAGGAGCCTGGACCCAGGGCCCAGCTGTCTGTCCTCTCATTAGCATACAAAAGCCACTCTGTGGTCACCTGGGAGACTCCAAGGGTTTCAGGAGCTCCGTGGCCCTCAACAAAAGCCCCTCCTGCCACCTCTTGCAAAACTGACAGAGGTGATGTCACACAGGGCTGGGAGCACACTGAAACCACGGAGCCGTGCACACCGATGGACACGCACATGAGGTGGGGCCACGTCTCAGGAAGCCAGCACCCAGCGGGGTGGGGGCGGGGGCTCGGGCCCACTCAGCCAGGTTTCTGCGAAGTCTCGCAGCAAGAAACTGCTGGAAGGCACGGTGCACTGCAAAAGGTCAGCCGCTTGTGGGAGGACACTCCCTCTGGCCCTGCACCAACTTCCAGGCCAAAATCACAGCTCAAACTGAGCCCAGGGCAACATGGGGCCGTGTGGGAGCCAACACCAACAGCCAGCTGCTGGGCTGGGTGCCACACAGCTGCTGGCACCTAGAGGTCGGCTTCAGGCCCTGAAAGATCCCTGCCCTCCCCAGCCCAGCACCGCCAGGCCTGGAGCCCGGGGAAGCGCAAAGGTCCCAGGCAAGGTTGAATGCCTCAGAGGGCACGGCCCATCCGACAAAACCTGCAGCTCCCTGGAGGCCCAGCCCCCACCACCCACAGCAAAGGATTCCCAACAAATCCTCTGTCATGTGGCCACGGGGCAGGCTGCCCAGTAGGCACCTCAAGCCGGGAGCAGCGGAGGGGGAATGGGAGGGGAGGCAGCTCTGTGGGCCCCCGACACTGCCAGTCATCCTACCATTCCGTGGTGGTTCTGCAGGGCTGGGCCGACGGCAGGCAAGACCTGGCTCCAACAGCCCGGCCGGATGCCCAGTCCCTCTGCCAGGCTGCTGACCTCCCGAGCTCACCAAGGCAGAGCACCCTGGCCAGCAGCTTCATCCGGCAGTGAGTGGGCTCAGCAGAGGGGCTCCAGTGACCGCCACCCAGGTAGGCAGGGAGGAGCCGGGACCCACCAGGAACCGTGTGCCGCCGGCTCCTTCTCCCTCCTGCTCCGAGTGGGCAGTCGGGCTGGCTGGCTGTTCAGCTTCCGGAGCCAAGCCATGCACGGAACTGTGACTTAGCCTGGAGACTCAGCGCAGGGCTCTCTCAGAGCAAATGAGAGAGAGACAAGGCACCGCCAGGCTGTGGGATGGCAGGAACACCCTCGGCACCCCCATCTCCTGACCCCTGAAGCTGCTCCCTGCGCGGATCCAGGCAGCTTCCACCACGCAGGAGCCAGAAGGCCCTCGGCCCCGCTGCCCACGGCCGAGCTGGGAGGCTGCCAAGTGGCAGAGGTCTGAGTCCAGCCGGGCAGCAGGAAGGCAAGGCAGGGCGGCGCGGCAGGTGCCAGGACGGCTCTGGCTCCAGCGGGGCTGAGGGAGATGCAGAGTCCCGGGCGTCCCTCTCCCTGCCCTGGATTCCGAGGTGGGAGGCGAGGCTTGGGGTCTCTCCTCCCGCTCTCTGCTGTGGAACACAAACACTTCCAGGGGAAGAAGGGATGAGGCCCCAGGTCTCTGCTGGGCAGCTCCAAAGCCACCAATTCAGGGCCCTCTGGTTCCTCTGCTCCCCTTGGCTCCTTGAGGCCAGGACACGGTGCAGCCCAGCCCAGAGGCTCCCTTAGCATCTGCAGAATTTCCCTCTCAAAGAGGAAAGACCCCTTTGAAGGACCGCAGCACAATGAGCCCACCTAAAGTACAACACAGATCCACAGATCACAGTGGCCAGCGCTGCACTGATTTTTTTTTAAGATTTATTTATTTGAAAATCAGAGTCACCGAGGCAGAAGGAGAGAAAAAGGGAGAGAAAGAGAGAGAGAGAGAGAGAGAGAGAGAGAATCTTCCATCACTTCCTAAGTTGCCACAATGGCCAGGCCAAAGCCAAGAGCCAGAAGCTCCATCTAGGTCTCCCATGTGGGTGGCAGGGGCCCAAACACTTGGACCATCTTCCACTGCCTTTCCCAGGCCATCAGCAGGGACTGGATCAGAAGTGGAACAGCCAGGACACAAACCGGCACTCATGGGACACTGGCATCACAGGCAGAGGCCTCCCCCACTACGCCACAGCTCTGGACCCCACCTCCCCCAGGCCCTGCATTATTTTGGGCGACAAACGGGAAGGGAGGCACAGGGACACGGACACACACACACACACACACACGTGAGGCCACAGGCGTGCGCTAAACAGGACTCCATTGTTATGAAATTCCAGAAAGCAGGACCACAGTGAGCAGATCTCGCCACGGCCAGCACTGAGACGCAGCAGGCTGGGCCGCTGTCCACGTTGCCGCATCCCATATGGGTACCAGTTCGAGTTCTAGCTGCTCCACTTCCAATCCAGCTACCCGCTAATGGCCTGGGAAAACAGCTTAGGATGGTCCAACTGCTTGGGCCTCTGCACCCACGTGGGAGGCGCGGATGAAGCGCCTGGCTCCTGGCTTCCGCCTGGCCCAGCCCTGGCCATTGCAGCCATTTGGGGAGTGAACCAGGGGACGGATGATCTCTCTCCCTTCTCTGTCTCTCCCTCTCACTGTAACTCTGACTTTCAAATAAATCTTTAAAAAATAGCAGTTCTTTAATATCATTTTCCAAGGGATTATCGAATTCTACGGAATACTTTAAAATCTGAATTTTGTTGGCATTCTGCTGCAACACTGCACACAGAAAATCTGCATTTGTACCACGCCTCCCCGTTCTCAGACGGAGGTGGTCCAGGCATGGGGAACCACGTGATTTGTCCCTCTCCCCAGGGTATCTCTGAGAGTAGAAGGGTGTCCACGGGGAGGAGGCCAGGATGACCTGTGTGGTCACCCTTAGTGGAGGTCCCACTGGGAGAAGCCTCACGCCACAGAGCCTCTGAGCGCCAAAGGAGAAAGCAACTCTGGCCTGACTGAAACCAGCGAGCTGGTCAATTGCAAGTGCCAAGTCCAGGGTGATGCCAGGCCACCTGGCCCACTTACAGGGCAAGGCTGGACACAGGCCTCCCCAAACACAGGCTCTCTGGTCCACGAAGACCGCATCTTCACCCAAGGTCTGTACATTCAGGCAAGAAGGAAGCCAGTACTAGGCATCGCTTCATGGAATGTTCCAGAATACCAGCTCTGTGGTTTGTGTAAATCAGATTCTGTTTTCAGTCATTCCATTGTAAAGTCAAACACAGAGCTCCACGGGGAAACAACTGCAACCCTGTGCCACACTAACATTCAGATCTGCTGTACTCATGTTGATTGGCACATCCACTGGGCACCGGCACTGGTCTGGGCAGTTCTGGCACGGTAGGGCACAAAGCAATCCAGGATATCTATAAACTTCCTGGTAGATGTGTATCTTGGAGCATGACAAGCAGGAAAAAAAAAAAAAAAGCCTCGCAGGTCTCACCACCTATAAATGAAGGGCTCCAAGGTCACCCATCAGCAGTGCCCCCGCGCTAGCACGGTTGTTTCCGAAGTACCTGCAGGCCCCAGGGAGCTCAGCTCAGGGATCTCAGAGACCCTCCCCCCAACAGATCTATCAGTACATTCTGATTTTTCAATTCCGGTCACACCGCATTGCCCATAAAGGAGTCTCTAGTTAAAGGTCCCTACCTATATTTACATATGAATCCAGCTCCGTGCACCACAGTGGGCTAAGCCTCTGCTTGGGATGCCTGCACCCTGTGTGGAGTGCCTAGGGTCCAGTCTTGCTCTGCTTCTGATCCAGCGGCCTGCTAGTGTGCACCATGGGAGGCACCGGATGATGGCTGAGTCCTCACTCCCTACCACCCCATATGTGGGAGACCTGGATGGAGCGCCTGGCTCCTGGCTCCAGACTAGCCCAGCACCATTCTTAAAGACATTTGGGGGTGTGAACCAGCAGATGCACGAAGAAGTCTCTCTTGTTCTTGCTCTCTCTCCTGCTTTCAAATAAATAAACATAAATAAACCAAAAAAAAAAAAAAAATCGGGGGTGGGCATTGTGGTAGGACAATCTCTGTGTGTGTCTGTCTCTCTGCCTTTCAAATAGATGCACACATCTTTCTTAAAAATTCAGTTCGTCCATCACCCAACCACATTCCAAGGGCTCAGCCAGCACAGGTGGCCACTATGCAGGACAGCGCAGACATGGGACAGTCCCACCACTGCACAAAGGCCAGTGGACAGCACTCTCCTGCAATGTCTCTCACAGGCCATGCCCTTCCACTTCGTTTCCATAACCAGCGACCTGCTTGGCGGGCACACTGATGCCCTGATGAGGCCTCAGGGCTAAGCTGACACCAGGCAGGACAATACCCTGTCAACTGCCAGTCAAGACCCAGGGCCGCCCTTGGTCCAGGGCTCCAACCTCCGGGAGCTCATTTTCCTCATCTGTGAAATGACAGAACTGAGCTCAACGACCTTAACTCAGGGTTCTTACAGCTCTGCTTCTATTTATCTTCTCTCTCTCTTCCATTTAAAAGGTACAGAGACACACAGAGACAGAGAGACAGAGATCTTCCATCCACCGGTTCACGCCCCAGATGCCTGCACTAGCCAGGGCTGGGCCAGGCTGAAGCCGGGAGCCCAGAGCTCAGTCTGGGTCTCCCATGGGGGTGGCAGGGACCCAAGCACTTGGGCCATCACCACTGCCTCCCAGATTGCCCCAGCAAGTAGCTGGACTGGAAGCAGTATGGCTGGAACTCGAACCAGGCATTCCAACGTGGGACGTGGGCAGCACACACAGCAGCTGAACTGCTGTGCCAGGCACCTGCCCCAAGGTCTGACATCCTACGACTTGACCTTCAAGAAAGGAAAAAAGTCATTCACTAATTAAACATCGCTACTCCAAATAAGCCAGAGGGCGAGACGTTAAGTGCTGCACCAGACACTGCATCTCTTCGGGTTGGAACAAAGGAAGGAGGGACAACGTTGCACAGTGGTCTGGCTGCCCAAAGTGCCGGCTCTCAAAGGGGAACTGCTCCCTTTGTGAGCGCTACGCCAGACTGGGCCAAAGGTGCTCACCCTCACCGTGACTCATTTACAGATGAGGTCCCACCGCTGGCGGCAGAGCTGGGGCTTGAACACGGGTGTCGCCCGCAGTGCGAGCCATCCGCCAGACCCCAGCTAGACGTTCTGTTAGTGAGCGCTCACCACCCATGAGCAAATGGGAGCACAGAGCGGTCACGCGGCGAGCGAGGGACAGAGGCGCTGCCAGTAACCACTGCCCTCGCCTGCCTTTAAGGCCTCTGATCCTGGAGCATCCTGCCTGCAGCACGGCGTCGCCCTGACCGTCTAGAACGACAGGGGCGTGGGCATCCTCGCCCTGCTGAACCGTGACCCCCTCAGGGCAGGGTCTCAGGGTTCCCCGGGGTCAGCTTTCCCTCCCAGCGCTTTGCTCCTTGGCAGCGTCCCGTGGAGTCTTGTTAAATTCATGGGCCTGGTAGGATGTGTCGGGCCAGGAGGCTCCGCTTTCAATGCAGGGCATCAGCTCGGGTATCCTTAAAGGCTCCCGACTCCAGCGCGTCCACTCTTCAGTGTCCTGGGGCTTCTGTGGGTCAAGCCCACCTGACCACAGCCCTCTGCCCAGCACCCCCTCCCGGGGCAGGCGTGCCCTGCGCCCGAGGACCACTTCAGCCGGGCACCCTGCTCACAAGACCTCACGGCCAAGCACCCACTTCAGAGACGGTGCAGCTGTGAACCAGACACGCGAGGCGGCCCAGCAGGTGCAGCGCCCGAGAGAGTGCACATGCAGGCTTACGGGAGCATCTAAAGCCTTACAAGAATCGGTTTTCCTGTTAGTTGGAAAAAGACAATATATATATACACCCAGGCTACTCCCCACCCTGAAGAAGTAAACACGCCCAGCCTTCCGCAGGCAAACAAACTCTTCATTTGGGAGAACGGTGGGACGAACACTGCGTGGCCCTCCCAGAACTACTCAGCCCCCGGGATCCTCAACCGCTGG